CTGGCAAGTATGACACAGTATTGGATGCAGGTAATTCTTCTGCCTAAGAAGGTGATAAAAGAAATTGAGAGGTTATGCTCACAATTTCTCTGGGGTGACTTTGAGAGGAAGAAAAGAGCTAAAGTCTCATGGAAAACAGTGGCTCTACCTAAAACAGAGGGTGGAATGGGGTTTAAGGATCTCTACTCCTGGAATAAGGCCTGCCTCACAAGACACATCTGGGGGATACTTTCAGATTTGGATACCCTTTGGATTGCCTGGATAAAGGAATACAGACTCAGGAACTTGAGCATTTGGGAGGTGAGTACTGGTGGTTCTTGGGTGTGGAACAAAGTACTGAAGCTGAGGAGTGAGATAGAAGGGAAGATGTGCCTAACTAGCAGAGGGGTTGAATGGGAAGGGGAACTGATGGACAAGTTCAAAATTAGCAGGGTCTGGAATAGCTTCAGACCAAGAGCGGGTGTAGTAGGTTGGTCGAAGCTGGTCTGGAAGGGAGGAATTCCCAAAAATTCGACAATTACTTGGTTGATCTTACTGGGGCGTATCCATACAATGGATGTGGTGAAGATCTGGAATCCTACAGTGGATGGTCTGTGTGTTCTTTGTGGGCATGATTTGGAGACTAAGTCTCATCTTTTTTTCCAGTGTTCATATGTGCAGGCTACTTGGAGTACTGTTTTCCCACCCTCGTGGTGCTTCCCGGTGCCCAGGGATCTGCAGGAGGCAGTGTCTTTGGCTACCCGGCGCTTTAATAAATGCTTGGTGGGCAGGATCCTTTGGTGCCTCGTGCTGAGTGAGATTTGGCGAGAACGGTGTATAAGATTTTTTGGTGGGAAGCAACTGCTGGTCGTAGAGCTTGTGAGGAAAATGCAGGAGGTCATGGAAGCTAGAGAGTTGGGAGACCCTGGTTTTGCTGATTTAGCCATGTCTAGGCGTTTGTGGTACAGATTATAGTTTAGCTGTTGTGCTAGGCTTTTTTGCGTTTTTGTGGGAGTTTGTATACTGGTGTAGTACCTTGTAGAACAATGTAAAAGATTGTATTTTTGATGAAATAAGATCCCATCCATTCATAAAAAAAAATATATATATTAGGCCCGATACGACCCACTTTTATACCATGCCGTGCCCATGAAGTTTAGGCCCGGCACGGCCCATAAATTATTCGTGCTCGTGCCGGGCTGGCCCATTTATTTCGTGCCCGTGCTCGTGCCGTGCTCTAACCGTGCCGTGCCGTGCTAGCCCGTGGGCGGCACGGCCCGGTGCCCATGTACAGCTTGGGCTTTGAATTTGGGTCAGTTTATTATTTATCCGGTCTGCCGGTTTTGACAAGAATTGAATTGGTCCGGGTATTTTACTAATTATGAGATCAAAGACGGGATTGGATTGTTTTAAATCCGGTCCCGGTCTTAAACGGTCCGGGTTATACGGTCCAGTTTCCGTTTTTTATCCGGTCCCTGTCCAAATGGCCAGCCCTATTTTAGAGGGTCTTTAACACATACAAGGACTAAATTAACACACAATCAACTATTCACATAAATACAAGAAATAAATATGTAATTATGCACATATAGGAAAAATTGCCAGATAGTCCATTTACTTGTAAAAGCGTAACATAAGTGGCAACGAGTTTACCTCCTACCGTTGATTGGTGAAGTGGGAGGGGGTTTGTTGTGTACTACTAGAACCAGTTTATATAGGCACCAACAGAATCGATGTGAATTTAGGCCTAACTAATTTATAATATCGTCAAATTCACAACGCATGCATTTTTTCAATACACATTTGAATAATCTCAACTTCCAAACTATATAGCATATTCATTCTTTTATGACTCCAATGAATATGAGCAGTTGAAACAAAATGGTTCTTTCTTCCGCTTAAACAACAAAATATTCTCAATATAACATAAATTTCTTTGACCCGAAGATCTTATGTTTGAATTCTGAGAAGCCTCTGATATTAAATGTCATTTGCGCAAGATATGAACAAACCTTAAGAGCACTTATGAGCTAACTTTTATTTAAGCAGGTGTGCAAGAGAATGATCCAAGATTGATTCACATGGTAGTGTAGAACAAATGTATCACCTATATGCTAGTCGAAGTTCTGCTGTTCTGGGAACCCCACCAAATTTCATCATCCACCCAATGAAGGGTTGTGGTTGGCAGAGTCAATTTCAACTAGTGGAACTTCTAGCTGGTGCTAGGATGTTTTTTTTTTTTTTTTTTTGTTTCTTTGTTTTTTTGTGTGTGGTAGTTTGTGGATTATGTAAAAAGAATTTATGGGTTATTGTCATGGCTTTGAAGCTTTGAAAGTTATCCCGCCACCTGGTGTGAATGATGAACCAATCTTGAGGAACTGAGAGGTTAAAAATTGAGTATCGTGGACACAGTTTTAGAAGGAGCCAAGAAACGGATTGTAGGCCATTTTTGGCATCTGAGTTGAGAGAGAGAGAGAGAGAGAGAGGGGGGGGGGGGGGGGGGAGAGAGAGAGAGAGAGAGAGAGAGAGCTGACGACACCATATCCGACTTCTGTCGGCTGCAAACACACTGCAAACCAGAACCTATTTCTGGCATTTGTCTAAGTACATATACGTGGTGGACTTGAAGCCTCATGTAGTTCTTTACCTAACTGGCTGTTCACCAGTGAAGAGTCGGAAGTTGAAACATGGCACATTGCAGTTTACACGGCTCAAGTTCCATAACCAGTTACCATCACCTTCTGCTGGAAAAATTGTCTTGGTTAATTAAGGGAATGATTAAATGTACTTGGCCGTTACTCAGTGTGAGTTGATGGAATGATGTAAAAGGCAACAACAGCACGAGATTGTCTTAAAGATTTTGTGTCCGTCAGAAAAGACCAATCCCTTCTCTGACTCTAAGTACTCTTCTTGCTGCCAAGTTAGTTCCTTCCCATTCCCAAACTCATTCTCGGCTAGGGCTGCAAATGAGTCGAGTTTTACACCAGTTTGAATTCGGCTCGTTAATAAACGAGTTGAGCTCGACCTCGGCTTATTTATTAACGAGTCGAGTTCGAGCAAGCTTGATATATTCATTTTGTATGTCATACATTGTACATGTGATTAATGTCAACATGAAAACAATGATAATAATAGTTAAGAGTTCAATATTAACTAATCTCATGTTATACTTTTTAGTATCAAATTATTTAGTTAATAGATTTTAACTATTGAAAATTAAGTTATTGCATAGTATCGAAGCAATCTATGATACATAATTTATTTTAAAATTAAATAAGACATATTTGTTCACATAATCTACATGTTAAAATTATATAAGATAAGATATATGATTTAACAATTCTATAAATTATCAAAATTAAACTCATATAAATCGATTCGCTCATAACTCGGTAATCGAGTTGGCTCTCTAACTACAATGTTGAGAGTTGAGACATCTCATGAGCTGTCAAGAGTTGTCAATTTAAGGTCTGGATAGTGTTTTCATACTCATGGTATGTGATACCCCAGATTCCACCCTGGCGTACGCTAATCTACCGTACGCCCTATTGGGTTTACTATTTAGATCATGAATTAAAGTAGTTCGGGGCATGATACTATACCCTAACCTATAATGGATGAACCTCAGTCCCTAATTTTCTAACCCGAACCATGAGATTCGTTTAATCTTCAAATGAAAATCAATGCTAATTTGGACGAATCAGAATCAATGATTTTCATTTCAAGATTAAACGAATCTCATGGTTTGGGTTAGTGAATTGGGGGCTGGGATTCATGCATTAGGGTTTAGGGTATAGTATCATGTCCCAAACTCCACTTAATTCATTATCTAAATAACAAAAATTAACGGGCGTACGGTAGGTTAGCGTACGCTAGCCTTTGCCATACATATATATATATATATAAACCCCAGTCCCCAATTCTCTAACTCACGGCAAAAGATTCATTTAATCTAAAAAATCATAACCGACGGTTTAGATTCAGCAAAATATATTGAAGTGCAAAAACCAAGTGTGAACACAGGCGTACAGCGTACGACTGACGTACGCTAACCTGAACCATATATATATATGTGTGTGTGTGTGTGTGTGTGTGCTGCAAGGTTGTCAAACTGGATTAAGCCATCCAGCCGGTTCGGCTAGGGGTTCGAGATTTAATGGTCGGATCGGGGTTCAACCGGGTTAAGACGGTTTTGACAAGATATGTTCTTAGTTCATATTGGAGAGCCATTAACTCCTAATTAACAAACTATTTCTTTCCCCCCTCCTCGAATAATTGTCTTTTCCGACTCTGATCTGCGAGAGCATCGCTCGAAGGATTTTCTCGCGTGAAGGATTCAGCGAGTACAGAGATCTAGTAGAAGTGTACCTCTGCGTGACGATGGCACTATTAGTTCTGGAAGGCAGCAGCGACCCATGGAGAGGGAAAGCATTCACATTTAGCGATCGCCCAAAGCTGTTGAAGGTCGAGGGTGACGATTTGAGCTCCAAGTCAGAGTATTTGTGGGAAAAGAACTCAGGGGAGGACCTCAACTTGCTGAAGGTCTACCACAGTGTTGGAAATAAAAAACTTTATTTCCTTATAGTTGAGTTTGGTGGGCACGTTGGTTTGGACTAAGGAAAATAGGCAACTTTTATAGGGTCTTTATTTGGGGAAGGGAATGGTTTTGTTTTTATAGGAGAAAAGGCTGCAGAGAGTATTGGAAGAAGGAAACTTTTATTTCTTTCTTCTTTGCTTATTGTCTTTTAATGGCTGTGCTCTACACTCTATTACCAACGCAGAACCAGCCTATATATAGGCTTTCAAATAGAAAATATCTGCCTAAACCGACTTACAACTTGTGGTTTTCCATTTTTCTCATTTCTTTATTTTACAACTAACAACTACTCTTAATTAATTAACCTTCTACACAATTCTGCACACACTCATCCACACACAACACCTACTCCCAACTAGCACATTCTGATATTTATTTATTTAATTAAACTTTATTCTTCATTTTCAACACTCCCCCTTAAAGTTTAATTAATAGTAACTCCGAGTAGCGTCCTTAGTTTGACGAACACATCTTGCTTCAGTGGCTTTGTGAATATATCAGCCATCTGGTCTTCAGTCTTCACATACTTTAGCATTACTTCTTTCTGCTCTACGCATTCTCTCAGAAAATGATATTTATGTTGATAACAAGTCTGCCCTGGCGCTAGCAAAGAATCCGGTATTTCATGATCGCAGTAAGCATATTGATACAATCTTGTATCAATATGCTTACTGCGATCATGAAATACCAGATTCTTTGCTAGCGCCAGGGCAGACTTGTTATCAATATAAATCTCAGTTGACTCTTCTTGTGTCATATTCAACTCCTTCAGTAACTTTCTCAGCCATATCGCATGACACGAACACGATGTCGCAGCAACATACTCAGCTTCAAAAGTAGATAATGTCACGATAGCTTGCTTCTTTGAACTCCATGTGAAAGCTGTATCTCCCAGAAAAAATACAAATCCAGTAGTGCTCTTGCGATCATCGACGTCTCCTGCCCAATCACTATCGCAGTATCCAACCAATTTGAAATTTTCTGACTTAGTATAAAGTAGACCATGATCGATTGTACCTTTGATGTAGCGCAGTATCCTCTTTGCAGCATTCCAGTGTGACATAGTTGGTGCCTCCATGTATCTGCTGACTAATCCAACTGCGTAGAGAATATCTAGTCTGGTGCAAGTCAGATATCTCAGACTTCCCACGAGACTTCTAAACTCCGTTGAGTTGACCTTCTCTCCTTTGTCGTCCTTGGATAACTTTAGTCCGCACTCTGCTGGTGTGCTCACAGGATTACAGCTTTCCATCTTAAACTTCTTCAGCGAATCCATTCTGTGAGATGAAAATTCCTTCCTCCTTTTGACTTACTTCAATTCTGAGTTAGTATGACATTAGTCCGATGTATGACATCTCAAACTCATGAACCATTGTCTTCTTGAACTCTTCAAACATTTTAGGATCATTGCCTGTGAAGATGAGATCGTCTACGTACAAGCAAACTATCAATATTGCTCCCCCCTGCACCTTGCAGTATAGTGCACGCTCATGTGGGCATTTGCTGAATCCGTTATGCTGAAAATACTTGTCAATCCTGCTATTCCAAGCTCTCGGTGCTTGTTTCAGACCATACAGTGCTTTCTTCAGCTTTAGCACCTTATCTTCTTGTCCTTCAACGATATATCCAGGGGGTTGCTCAATATAGATATCTTCCTCGAGATATCCATTCAGAAAAGCTGACTTCACATCCATTTGGTGTATCTTCCATCCATTTTGAGCAGCGAGAGATATCACCATCCTGATACTCTCCATTCTCACCACGGGAGCAAAAACTTCATTATAGTCAATGCCTGGTCTCTGACTGTATCCTTTTGCCACCAACCTTGCTTTGTGTCTGACGACTTCTCCTTTAGCATTTTACTTGGCCTTGAATACCCACTTCACACCGATGGGCTTCTGGTTCTCAGGTAGCGACACAAGCTCCCAAGTCTTGTTCTTCACAATTGCTCCAATTCTTCATCCATAGCTTTCTTCCATTTTTCATCCTTCATGGCTTCTTCAACATCCACTGGTTCATCATCAATGAAATGACAATAGAGTGTCAATTCATCACCTTCAATGGTTGTCGTTTCCTCATAAATTTCTTCAAGTCTCCTATACTTCTGTGGCCTCTCTTTTGGACTTTCACTTGATTCTCCTTCTGGGTTGGTAGGTTCTCTGTGAATGGGTGGACTCTTCACAGGTGTAGTTGTATCTGGTTCGTCATCACTTTCATCCATAGTGAATGGATAGAAAGTGTAATTCTTCTTTGCTTCAGTAGTCCAGTCCCATGTTGCTTCTTCATCAACTACCACGTCTCTGCTGATGATCAACTTCTCTTCCACGGGATCAAACATTTTGTAACCTTTTGAGTGTTCTGAGTATCCCAGGAATATGTACTTTTTGCTTTTGTCATCCAACTTCTTTCTTTCTTGATCTGGTACGTGCACATATCCGACACTTCCGAAGACTCGGAGGTGAGAGATTGTGGGTTTCCTTCCTCTCCATGCTTCTTGGGGTGTTTGATTCCAAACACTCTTTGTTGGTGACCTGTTCAGCAGGTAGACTGCACAGTCAATAGCTTCAGCCCATAGCTCCTATGGCAGGTTCTTGCTCTTCATCATGCTTCTCGCCATGTTGAGGACAGTTCTGTTCTTCCTCTCAACAACTCCATTTTGCTGTGGGGATCTTGGGACTGTGAGAAACCTGCGAATTCCTTGATATTCACAGAACCTTCTGAACTTCTTGGGCATAAATTCTCCACCTCTATTTGATCTCATGGCTTTGATGTAGCGGCCACTTTCATTCTCCACCATTATCTTGAACTTCTTGAAAGCTTCAAATGTGTATGACTTCTGCTTCAAGAAGTATACTCATGTCTTTCTACTGTAGTCGTCAATGAACAATAGGAAGTATTTGTTCTTCCCGAACGATGTTGGGGTGATCGGTCCACAGAGATCTGCATGGACGAGCTCAAGTGGTGTTTTAGCTCGTGACAGGGACTCTTTTGGGAAACTTGCCCTGAATTGCTTGCCAACCAAGCATCCTTCACACAACTGGTCTGGATGATTGATCACTGGCAGACCATGAACCATCTTCTTCTGACCGAGTAACTTCAGGCTTCCAAAATTTAGATGGCCATACCTCAGATGCCATAGCATGTATTGTCCTTCACACACGCTTTCAAGCACTTCGCCATTTCTGTCTGAATGTTCAGAGTGAACATTCTGTTTCTCGACATTGGGACTCTGGCCAACAACTGCTTCTTCTCGTTTAACAGCTCCAGTTGACGATTCACTATGTGAACTTCATAATCTTTCTCCATCAGCTGACCCAAACTCAGGATGTTACTAGTCATGTCTGGGACATAGTACACATCACTGATAAATTGTTGTGAGCCATTCTTGAGCCGGATGAGTATTGTTCCTCTCCCTTTGATAGGAACTTTCGAGGAGTCTCCAAATACGACATTTCCTTTCACCGATTCATCCATATCCACGAACATGTTTCTTTTACCGCACATGTGGTTGCTTGCTGCATTATCCAGATACCACATGTTGTCTTTCGGTTTCTCATCTACTTGATGTGACAGCATCAATGTACCTTTGACTTCTTCTTCTTGCACGTTGTTTGTCGTCTCCTCCACTTCTTTAGGCGGAATCCAACATTCCGATGCATAATCCCGTACTTCGAGCAATTATAGCACTGGACGTTGGATTTATCACGACCGTCATTTGATCTCCAATTTCCTCTTCCACGTCCACGACCTCTACCTTTGGTGGACGTTTGATAATTTTTCGTGGTGAAATTTTCTCCATCTCTACTTTGATATGCTCCTCGGGCTCTTCCTCTGCCTTTGTAGCTGCCTCGACCTCTGTACTGACCTCCTCCTCGTGCGCCTGCTTTCTCCTCAGTGGTAGCTTTTGTAGCTAACACTTGTTCTGATGATTCTTCATTTCTTTTATTTAATCTTTCCTCCCGTGCTTGCAGTGAACCGATAAATTCATCCACCGTCATTTTTGACACGTCCTTAGCTTCCTCCATGGCCACCACCACATAGTCAAACTTCGGTAATAATGACCGTAGAATTTTCTCCACCACTTTGGTCTCTTCAATTTTCTCCCCATACTGCTTCAATTTGCTGACGACTGACTTCACACGGGCGGTGTAATCTGAAACAAATTCACCTTCCTTCATTTTTATTGCTTCAAAATCTCCTCTGAGTGTCTGAAGTCGAACCTTCTTTACTGGTTCCACGCCTTGCATTTCCTTTTGCAAATGCTTCCTTAGCCGTGGTAGCATCTGCTATTTGATCGAACATGGATTCATCAAGACATTGATGAATGAGAGTGAGAGCTTTCCGATCACTCTTTCTATTTTTTCTCAATACCTCCTTTTCAGTAGGAGATAACCGAGAATCCTCCACGGGAATCTCGTAGCCATTTTCGACAATATCCCAAGCATCTTGGGATCCAAGCAAGGCTTTCATACGGATGCACCAATTTTTATAATTGGTTTTGGTAAGGTGGGGAAATTGAATGGGGAAAGTAGATTTTTCGGCCATGGGACAATCGTGATAACCACAACACGAGAAATTCTTTTCTGATGTGGAAGATCAGACTACGCCGCAACCATAGAGCATACACAGAAATAACTCGGGCTCTGATACCACTTTGTTGGAAATAAAAAACTTTATTTCCTTATAATTGAGTTTGGTGGGCACGTTGGTTTGAACTAAGGAAAATAGGCAACTTTTATAGGGTCTTTATTTGGGGAAGGGAATGGTTTTGTTTTTATAGGAGAAAGAGGCTACAGAGAGTATTGGAAGAAGGAAACTTTTATTTCTTTCTTCTTTGCTTATTGTCTTTTAATGGCTGTGATCTACACTCTATTACCAACGCAGAACCAGCCTATATATAGGCTTTCAAATAGAAAATATCTGCCTAAACCGACTTACAACTTGTGGTTTTCCATTTTTCTCATTTCTTTATTTTACAACTAACAACTACTCTTAATTAATTAACCTTCTACACAATTCTGCACACACTCATCCACACACAACACCTACTCCCATCTAGCAAATTCTGATATTTATTTATTTAATTAAACTTTATTCTTCATTTTCAACGCACAAGGTGTTGCAGGTCGGGATAACTGAGAAGTTGAGGAAAGAGAAGATGGCAAAAAGGGTGTTCGTCTTCAGTAGTTGCAGCGAGAGGCATGTAAGGGTTTCAGGAACAGAGGATACAAGAGTGTTCTAGAGATTGTGTACTGGGACTTGAGATCTGGCAATGAATCGGGAAGGGACCAGGAAGAAAGATAAGGGATTCATTTGGATTGCTGCGCCTGCGATGGAAAATAGGGTTAGAAGAAAATCCCATAAATGACAAAAACGACGCCGCTTGTTGATGGCCGGTAGCCTGTTAGGTCCATCCAGACTCAGAGTTTGCCCGGTTTTGAACAGCTACAGGCCATAAGTGATATATGGCTTTTGCTAGCCATTTCCCATTTTAGTGCCCGGTTCTGGCCAGCCCGATTCGACCGGAAGGTTCGACTCCGGTTTGACAACCTTGTTATGCTGTGAGGATATGTGTGTGTTAAAAATAGAAAGGGAAGTAAAAGAAAATGAAATTAAAAGTGATAATGAACCGCACACCATTCCATTCCATTTATATGTACACTTCCTTTCCGTTATTCCCCATTATTTCATTTACATGAGCCGAGGGACAAAGAACAGAAACAGGGGACGTTCCGGAGGAAATCGCTGTGTTTAAATCTCGGGTTCTGGTGATAAAAAAAAATTCTACAATCGGTAGGTAGCTCTTCTCTATAGTGTAGTTCATCAATTCCGACCTTATACCATAGTTTCGGTACACTGATTTCTTGTTTTCCCTATCGAAGAAATTGGGGGTTTGAATATTTTAAAAGCCGGATTAAACCCAAATTTCATATACAAACTATCTGCGGCGGGATAATAAATTTTATAGTTCTAATCTTTGAATTTCCACAATTATTTCGGCCGGAGTCGGAATCTCTAAATTTAGCTCAGTCTAGGGTTTGATGTGTTTTTATCAAGAATTTGACCCAGAGCCTAGTACTAATAGTCACTGGGACACTGCATGGGGTATTAGGACGATCTCGGATTTTGATTCTCGGTTCGTTGGTGAAATTGATGTTTTAGTACGAGAAGTTAAAATCAGTGTTAGAACGACCATAACTGGTGCGGGATTAGCACATCATAGCGGGTTTGTTGTATCATGATAATTATATT